TATATATATATATATATATATCTTGACATTTTTTAGAATCTTCCTATGAAGGAACAAGATATCTTATCAACAACTTCAGGTTAAGATGTTGTAGTAGTAGGTTTTATTGTCTATAGGAAAGCTTAAAGTTGTACGTATTGAATGATTGCTTACAAAGGATTGACGGGGCTCAGAAAAATTGAGCAAATAAATATTGCATGGTATTGAGGAAAAAGAAGGTAGAAATTATTAGAAAATGATTAAAAATAATTAGACTTAAATATGTTTGATTAAATTGTCTTTTAGTCTTATAGTATTCAACCTATAATTTTGATCTTATTTTTTCTTATTTTGCAATTTTAGTTCTTCAATTATATACAATTCACAATTTTTTAATTATTAATTATTTATTTGTTTATTGTTAAAATTATAATATTAACACTTGATATAAAATAGATAACCTAATAGTTAATATTTGATAATATAAATTATATTATATTTAGTCTTTTTTTTTTACCAAAAAAAAGTGGTAAAATGAAATTCGTTGAGATAATGACTCTAAACTTTTATTCAATGTTGACAACTCTCTTTTGCAGGACATTAAAGATACTTATTTAAGAAGTTCTCCAAATCAAGGAACCTTGTTCAAGGATTCTTCATTGGGAAGGGTTGAACATGGTTAATCTCATTAGCATTGATCCATTAGATTGTGTTCCACCTTCGGAAAGAAATGAATTTGATCTCGTAGAAGCTTGAAAGGCTGCCAATAAGTGCTTAACCTCCACATTTGAAGGAAGAATTCAATACAAGCTTGCTTCGAAGGTATTTTCAATAATTCACATCTCTTCTTTTATTTAAATTGTTTTATATACATGACTTTTTCATAGATAAACAGTAATCATGTAGACATACCATTTTCAAACGTGTGGGGTCTAAACCTTTTACTTTTCTCTTATATAAGTAATCATAAATTAAAGTAACATGTAAATAACCACTAAAAAATGGAAAATGTTCAAACTATTATTCTTTATTATGCTAATTTTATCATAAAGCACCAATTTAG